TTGTGCTGTAATGTTAATGAACAAAGAAATTTCACAGATCATATGGTTTGTGGCACATGTATCTAGAATCCAAGGCTTGTTTGCTAGATTTTTGGATTTTGATGCCTTAGCATAGAGACACAGAGATATACCAAAAACATTGGGCATTTGAACCTCAGCAATGCAAGGACTAATGACAGAAAGAACTTGATTTGCCAAATGAGGTGGAGGTAAAACATTTTACTTGTTGAGAAGTGCCATGAGTTGGTTATACTGCTCTTTTGTAATGGGAGATTGGGCACTCTCAAGGATTTTAGTGTGCATTTTCTCTTAGACAGTGATGCAGGTAACTTGATTAGCGGAAGGATTAGCGGATTTACCCTTGTTGTAGAGTTTGTATCCTGGAGGGTATCCATGAATTTTAAAGCACTTGCAGGCCACTCACTAGAGAGGTTCCTTAAGGCCAACAAACCAACATATTCTTATTGTAATCTCCTTAGCTATGACATAGACAAGTGCTGAAGTATATTCCATTACAGTGAGTACAGAAATACTTGGTAGTTTAGTTAGCTGCATATTGAGCCCCACTTCGAGTTTCACGAGCCATCATTGCCACTGATTCACTGAACGGTGTCCATTGAAATATGTCTCTTCTTTTCTTCTTGTTGTATAATGGAATATACATCATTCAGTCCAGAAGACGGCTTAATGGAGAGAATTTGAGCTTTGATATCTTTATAGGATTCGTTAAGACCCATGAGAAATCGCATAACCCAATCTCTTTGCAGATTATTAACTACAGTACGAAGCCCTCGACAAGGTATAGTTAGGTATAGATTCGTAATTCATTAATTCATCAGGGAGAGTTTTATATTTTGAAAAAAAAAAAAATAATAAAAATAAAATAAAAATAAAACTCACAATGTCTTAGTTTTGCATCAAGGTACTGATGGCTTGCTTTACCTCATAGACTCGGGAGGCATTCTACTGAGCTAATTGATGTTCAAGCTCTTGCCAAAGTTCTCTAGCAGTATTTGTATATAGAATACATGATTTTACTTCAACAGACATGGTGTTTTGTAGCTAGGCAATCACAAGGCTATTGCAACGAAGCCAATGCTTCATTAGAAAACTTTTGGGATCTATTGGTTCATCAGGCTCCCATTGATAAACATAAGTTTGTTTTTAAAATTCTGATGACCCTCTTCATGGACCTTGCCCAGGCATGGTAGGTGGTATTGTCTAATATTTGAGTGACCAGTATTGTGCAAAAACTTTCATTTTCGTTGATGTATTATAAACTGTAAGGATAGGTAGGATCATTAAGGTTTGGTGGAGAGTAGGCGTTTGAATATGCTGGCATGGTTTGTCCATGTGACAATTTATTTCCCTTCATTCGTCAACAATATGATTTGAAAATATGCCAAGTAGGAAAGCTCAGATTGCCAATATCATAAGCTCAAGAACTCAACTTCCAATAAAGAACAAAATCGGTAGGAGAAAGGTTTTTCACTTATTTAGATTTCATTTTATTATTCAAGACACGATATATAAATCCGTTGGAATTTGTACAAATTTGACCATTTATAAATGATTTATCAATTTTGCCAAACAAGGATTTAAATACACAAGTGTGCCTCTTTTAGAGATTACCTTTTTAGACGAGCTAGTTCAATTTAATATCCCCATAGTGGTCTCCATCTGATTATGAAAATTGTGTTAATTAATTATATATTTTATTAATTAAATATATTAAAGTCACATATCTATACAATTTGATTACAAATTAATGATTTAGTTAGTCACATATTATTTTTCGATCACAAATAAGAATTTTTATACGTCAAATTATTTTACAATCACAATTCAAAAATTTTATAGGCCACAATTTGTTCATCAATCACAAATAAAAAATTTATAAGTCACAATTTATTTATCGATCACAAATATTATAAGTCACAACTTATTATATAGTCACAAAATATCAAATTTTCGGTCACAAATTAACAATTTTTAAATCGCATTATTTATTAGTGGCAATTTATCTTTTTCATTCGCTATTTGTGGTCTCCACCAATACTTGCACCCACCACCTCAGCAAGGTACCGCACAAAACACCACCACTATCGGAATCAGTCAACACCACTGCACATCTCCAGAGCCACCACTGCACACAGTACCACACGCACCCAACCACTGCACCACCACAATGTACCCATAGCACTACACCACCGTCGCACCACTAGAGCTCTCCGTTCCCACCATCTCACTGCACACCTCCACCTCCACCTCCACCTCCACCTCCACCTCCACAACACCATAGAAGCTCATCACCGTCGCACACGCCAGAGATCTCCATTCCCACCACCGAACCGTCAATTACCAAGAATGGATCTGCAGCGCCACCTAGAGATCTGAAGCATCGGCAACCAGAGTGTACGTCACTGTGAGCGATGCTTTGAACTCGTTGCTGCGCAAAACGATGACAAATTCGAGCTCCGTTGAACGGCGATTGAAGAGTTGCGCACCACCGATGGAAATAAGTCGTCGAAGTGATACTAAAAGAGAGAAGGAAGAGGTAGAGAGAAAGGAGGAAGAAGAAAGTGATTAGGGTTTTTAGATTGAAAATTGAGCCGGATGGGTTAATGGTGGAGGGTGTGGTATGTAAATTAAGTTGATTTTATAATATTATTATTAATATTAAAACTTTTAATTATAATCTGATTTTTGAATAAATAAACATTGGTTCTGATTTTTGAAGTTGGATCTTAAAACATATGGATGGGTGTAATTTCCACTTGCAAAATTTGCATTGTGATATGCTTCCACGTAATCGTGCCTTTTATATGATATTCTTCAACTAGATGCATATTCTTGTTTTGATATGGAGGTGATGGTCTGATGGAGAAGAAATCATGATATTGTTAAACCCCCTAATGACAAAAATTCGATCATTACCATATTTACAATCAAATTTTTGCATGTTCTGCTTTTTGTAAATTGAGTGAGATTTTAATTTTTAAATTTTTGCGTACTCTTTTGTCACAAATGATGTTCTTGATGTCTTAGGATAGAATCATTTTTCTACTATTGTGGCCTTGCAAAAGTGGTAACATCGGACAATTCTCTTCCATTCTCTATAGACGGTGCGTGCATTCGTCACCTATTGAGTGCGGTGAGTGACGTAAATTTGTTAGGATGTTCTCTACAGCTGCATGAGATATTTGGGTCGATAAAACAAACAATTTTCAGTATCTTTGTATCTTAGTACTAGTTGATGAAATGTCCTTTTGAAGATTTGTCCTAGTTGACGAATGCCTATCGAAGTAACATTGTCTAGGTGAACTGGATATTTTATAGTTGATGGAATTATTCATTGAGATTAAAGAGAAAACAAGCATGATGAGTGGAGGAAGAGTCTCGTAATGAAGAATAAGGAAATATTTTAATATTGTATGAAATAAAGAGGTAGTAAGCTCACGAATCATACTAACAGAGCAATCTTTGTAGAATATGTTAGAAGTGACTGCTATCTGCAAACGTGTTGATTTCATATATTTTAAGTTCAAGGATGCGACACAAAGGTATACCACATATACTTTATTTAAACGATATTGAAGATTTTTTCTATTTCACGTAGTTATCCTTTTTGCTTTATTTTGGTATTTTCTTTTAATCCAAGGCAAGTGATGAGCTGGGGAGAGATTTAATATATGAAGCTTAGAATTTGATAATACATCTCCATGGCGTGTAAATAAAGGGAAGAATGATACGAGACTGAAAAGTTTCGTCAAACTACAATTGCACTATTGGTCCTAACCTTTGCACGAGTAGCAAGTTGGTCCCAACCTTTCAGCCTTCAATCTTTTATCATAGTGGCAAGAACTGCCCACGATGGAAACAGTCCAAATCTCCGACTCTCCATTGTATCACTGCATAACCCTTACATGTCCAAGTCTATGGAGCTAGATTTTGCTCCTTTTTAAAGATTAGGGACCAATTTGCTGCAATTTTCCATTAAAAAAAAATTTGAGTAACGTCATTTATCGTTAGTTGTGATCATCACTAATTTAGACTGCAATGAGCCCTTGGTTCATTGTCTAATGTAATAAAATGTATCACAATTCCATTGGATAATTAATTAGGAGTCCACTGCTACCTAGACTAGTAATAATCGCCACCAACTATGAATGGTAAAATTTTAAATTTTGCATGAAAGTTAGGTACTATTTTTTGCAACTTTTTGCAGATCTGGAGTACCGTTTCCGAATTAGTTGGATTTCTTAGATGCTCAATAAAGTTGCATAAGTTTTCATTCTATGTTCCAGCTTGGAGTTTTTTGTCATGTCAGGTTTGTGCAGAATTTCTCGGGACAAAGAATAAGCTTTGTTAAGATTCAAAAGCAAATAAAATGTAGTGTGATGATTTCCAACTCGTTCAATCTTGCTAGTGAACAATCAGAAGACGAGATTGATTGCGCTCTGATTATGATTTAGACACGGATGTTAATGTGTTCGCTTCCTCGGAGGAAAGTTTCTCTAGTGAATATGATGATACAGAAGAGAGGTACATATCTGCTCAGGAGGAGGGTATCGAGTACCTCAGAATCTGAAACGAGTCCATCGTTCTCAAAGAATGGAAGAAAACTCAAAGTGAACAATAAAAATGTAGCATCTAAAAGATGCAAAGACAAGATTCCGAAGCTAAACACTCTAGGATCTGCTAATGGGTAATGATATAATCTTGAAAGTCGAGACTATGATGATGTTGCAGTTTTAATTTGTTCTTCCATATAAAATTATTGAATAATGCTATATAACCCCATTAGAATTGCTTATTTTTTAGGGTTTATGATTATTTCTTCAAATATGTAGTTTAAAATGTTTAATCATTGTTTGGATTAGAATCTTTTAGCTTTTAAGTACTAACAACTAACTTTGCTCGCATCAAGATGAAAACATAGAAAGCAGAAAACAAACGAACGAATGAAAAAAGAAGGTTAAAAAATAAAAAATAAAAAATAAAAAATTGAAAGGATATGATTTTAACTTAGAAAATACTTGCACATTAGCTAGAGACAGCAGGATATTGCATCATCGTAACAACATAAAGTTTCAAGACCAAGTCCCCACCAAACATGACACATGTAGATATAGATACACCTTCCATAACACATAAAGAAAACCACATCCTAGTACAAAGGACAACATGACTTAGGTTTCAACATAATCCTAAGTTTTTAGGGCCTATCCTTATATTTTAAGGACACTTTGTTCTGTTTCCATGGGTAGTCATATCAGTATAACAAGTTCCACACATTTCTCTGTTCCCTGAAGTGCCTGGAGGAACACACTTGCACCTCACACAACAAGTACCACAGGCCCTGCTGCACAAATTTGGCCTCGAGTGTAAGCTGCACCTCACCTTGCACAGTCGTCCACAATCTGCCAAAAAAAAGCCATTTACAACTTATAAGTTTTTTTTATAGAACACAGAAGTAAAAACTAAGGGCTTTTTTGGTGGGAAGTGACTAAAGCATACCCATGAATGGTAACAGCCTTCTGTTAGCACCTCTGGTCACCTTAAGTTAGAAATCAGCATAGAAATGTTAGTTGGAGGTTACTTTTTAACTATAAGTAAGAGAAAAGTAACTAATGTGAACATCTTTGGGATGAAATAATTAAGTAGAAGTAAAAGAAGGGATTAAGTGCAGAGAACAGGGATATTAATTAACCAGTTTCTGTTGGTCTTCAATTTCAACATCAGATGAAACCTGCAAACCAGACACTACGGTAATCAAATGCAGCCCAAAAGCCACACAAGAAAATAAGCAGATTATAATCATGTCAAAGGAAATGTATTTACCAGAGCAAGGCAGAACAACAAAAGGGTTGCCAGAAAAACTAGCCGAGGAGCCATTTTCCAACTGAATTCTGTACTTGCTGAGGGGAGAGAATAGTTTGAAGTTCTTTTTTCAAGAAAACAATAAGGCTTGAAACTGAGAAATCAGTGTTCTTTGCACTGCATTTTATAGGCCTGTGCGTGTGATAAAGCCAATGTTTACACGATTGTTGATTGAATTATTGATCTCTAACTTATTCCTTTAATAGTAAATTGGTCCCCTTATCTTTAGAAGGAAGGATAAATTTCTTCAAAGGACAACATTTTACGAGTATGGAAGTGACATTCTTAGCATTCCATTTGTAGTAACTATGTTCCTAACCGTTTAACTAACATTAGGTAATATCTTTACCCAATGATGAACGTTGATTTGAACATTAAAGGACCATGCAATACTCACATTTTGTCCGATTAAAAGGATAAAACTGTTCAACATAGAATATTTTAATGTTATATGAATAATCACCATTTGATTTTCGAAGTAAAGGAAAAAGATTTCCTAACTATGTCTATATTACCCTTACAAACACAACATCATGTGTATGTCAGCATGTAAATTTTAATTAAGACTATTTTCCTTAGATGAGGATATTGTGAACATAATATTAAAAGGTTGGAGACATGAATATCATAAATTAAGCCCCTGTTTTGTTTTCATAAAAGTTAAAATTTTAATAAAACTTGATGAAATGTATGATCAAACGTTGATAAAAATTGAATACTCCATTGAATGTGTGATTGAGAGTAAATTTGAAAAAAAAAAAGAAAAAAAAAAGGAGTTTCATGAGACGAAATCCAAATAGAGTCTAATAGCTTGTTCGGTGGGAATTTTGATAATTGATTTTTTGATTATTAGAGATAAAGTGAGTTCTACGTGTGAGAGAAAAATTCAAAAATGACCGTTAGAATAGTGAAATGACTGTCAAAAAATTGATTTTAATCCGTAACAAACAAGCACTAAAGGTTGAAAATGTGATTCCACACTTAAAAAGGTTGAACACCCATAAACAAATGGAATAATTGCAACAACAGTCCCAAACTTATTGCTTTATTGCAGACTTTACCTTAACCTTCACTTTGTAACAACAATAGTCTCAAACCTTTAAAAAATTAGCACATGGGGTCCAAATGAATGATTTCGTCAGTTGACCCAATAAATTGACTTGACCAATTTTAAAATGAGTAAAATGATAACTTTGAATTAAATTTAAAAAAAAACTAAAAAAAAAATCGAAACCGTATTCATCTTCTCAAAAGGCGAAGCATCTGTCACTCGCCCTCCGGCACCGATGATTGGGACAGGGGCTGGAGGTGTAGGCGGAGTCTATTTGGATTCTTCTTAAAACTCAGACTATTCAACTACCGGTAAAGCCTTGAATTGCGACGACGCTTGAGGAGTCGAAAAGTGGAGGGGAGGGGATCGAAGGGTGCCTCTAAGGATCTGGAAGAACAAGGCGAGCCAGTTCATTAGCGTATTTTAGACTTGTATCATTCGCGACAGAGGGTAAACTTTAGTCGTCGTCACCAGCTCCCCTATTGTAATAACAATTAATCTACATATACAAAGTAGGTAGACAAAGTTTGTTGACAAAATAGGTGTTGGCAAAATCTAGGCCGTTGATTTGTTTTGATTTTAAAATCTGATTTTGAAATGAGTGATATAGATCTTGTCAATTCATGTTTTGTCAACCTCCTTTGTCAACGGCCTTTGTACACATAGCATTACTCTTGTACACATAGCATTACTCTTGTACACATAGCATCACTCTTGTAATAATCTGTATATTACAAAATTAGGAATCAATTATACAAGTTTTTGTTGACATCCACCAAGAAATTAATTGTAAATGTTGTGAACTATTGGCTTGTTTTGTTTTGTATAGGTGGTGCCAGTGGTAAAGGTTGTCTGTTTTATTGGGAGGTGATGACTACTGAAGAAGAAGAAGAGATGGAAGTGGCGAAGAGGATGGCTGAGAGGAAGACGACGAAGATGATTCCCACGATGAGCTTACGAGAAATGGGTTAGTTGGATTGTGAGGAAGAGGATGGAAGAATCAGGGAAGAGATGTTTGCGGGAAAGGTGACAAAGTTGGTAGGGGAGGCGGCGAAGATGGTAGTGGTGCAGGAATGAGAAGGAAAAGATGAAGAGGGTTTTATTTTTTGAGTTTAGTATTATTTTTAGATTTTTTTAAGTTTTTTTAATTTTATTTGAAAATCACCAATTTACCTCTTGTAAAATTGGTCAAAGTAATTTATTGGGTTAAACTAATAGAAATCATCCATTTGGAGTTTAAGTGCTAATTTTTTAAAGGTTTGAGGCTGTCAATGGCACAAAGTGAAGGTTAAGGTAAAATCTGTAAAAAAGCGATAGATTTGGAATCGCTGTTGCAATTATTCGAATTTACCCTAAAAGGAAGTAGTAACTTTTTGTTATAGGTAAGGGAAAATTGTACTAGCGGTCCCTAATCTTTTCATTTTTTGTATACTTTATCCTAATCTTCATTTTATGTCAGCGAATGTTTCTAACCTCTCATAAATATGCACTTGAGGTCTATCTAGATGAAAATCGTTCAAAACATCGTCAGTTGACTGGAAAAATCAAAGAATCAACATCCAATAAACAGTCGTGGTAGTAAATAGTTCAAGAAATTTTTCAGCTCAATTGACGATGTTTTCGACGGTTTCCGTCCGGATGGAACTTAATTGCATATTTATGAAAGGTTATGGATCTTCGCTAACACAAAATGAAAGTTAGAATAAAGTCTGTAAAAAATGAAAAGGTTAGGAACCGCTACTGAAATTTCCCTTGTAGTATAACATACTAAATGGTCAAACATCAAGTTTAATCAAACATCTCATACCGCCTCTATTTTGTTCAACTTAAAAAAGTAGATTAAAATCTATGTCAAATCAACAATTTATTATATCATATATCTTATGAAATTCATGATTTTTATTAAAATCTGCTAAATTTTTAATTTCTAAACCATATGAGGGGCAAAATCTATAAATATTACCCACTTATAGATTCTTAGGTAATTATATATCACTTTAAGATTTGAGCATATCTAAGAGACTCTATTTTTAAATAGCATATTTTATAATTAAAAGAGCATCTATAAATTTTAAGTAAAAAAATTTTAAATAGTCCAATAAGTTCTTTATATTTAAAGCTTGTATAAGTCCATTTTTGGTCAAAAAATACATTTTGAATAATATTTTGATAGAGAATGTGTAGTTATTTTTTTTTTTAAATCTTTGAATTTACTTGTAATATTATTTCATTGAAAAATATGTGATTAAAAATAAAAGAGATTTTTTTATTATTATAGAATAACAGAGAACAAACAAAGGCTAAACAATTAATTTACTACTCCCAAAAATATTTATTATTCTTTCATATATTTTATTTTCACTAGCTTTCTCCAAATCATTTTATTATTTTTCTATATTAAAAATTAAAATATTTTGAATGCATTTAATTTTAGAGATTATATTTCTCTCTCTAAATTTTAAAAGTCGAACTTACTCTCTATTTTAAAATATTATTTTAAAGAGACTTTTTATAACATGATTTTAATGATTTATTGTTTTAAACAGGGAATACTGAATGTTTAAATTTTAAAAAGGATCATGAAATGCTCTAAGCACCAAGTTAAGGTTAGTAGGGATGGCAACGGGGCGAGGTGAGGGAGCCC